AATTATATATGAATAATATAGGGGGGGTGAGATGGTGGTCCAAAAAAATGATGACAAATGAATAATGGAACTATATATGTATGGTGGTAGTGATATACAGCTGATCGATGAATGATGATTTGGTAGTACTGCAAAATGTGCAAAGCTTCAACATATATATATATATATATATCTCGAGTGAGTTTAATTGGCCAAAGTCTTGTGCAATCGTGCACACGCCAATCATACCGCGCGCCCATCTTTTTCATTCTTTATTAATAATTCTTCTTTTTATTAGTTTCTTCTTTTTGTTTAATTTAGGAGGAAAAAAGCTAGCGTTACTCTTATAAAAGGAATGTAACACGTTTTCTATCTACAGCTCAATTATATATAGACAACATTGTATTGATTTTGTGTTTTACAACCGAATGAACATGTGTAAAAATATGATATTTTAATTTGTACGTAACGTACATATAACATTCATCCATCCAATAAAATGAAACTCCTAAAAAAGGATATTTAATTTGAACTTGTATTATAATTCATATTCACCGTGGGCAGAAAAGCGTAACAATTCATCTTATGCAATTGATGTTTTGCATACCTAATTGTCTGATATATGACCGCAATTATTAAAATCCATTTATAGGTTTATTTGAAATAGAGCATGTCTAAAGTTTAATTTTTAATTATGATTAATTCTTCAAAATCACCTCCATTTAAATTGAGTAGATAATCAAACCATTGGATTATAAACATAAAGGCAAATTATTATTAGCTTCATTTAAATGAGGCTAAGCCACTTGTGTCGGATGCTTAGTAGAAACATCACCATCAAAACCATGCAAAAAAGCAAACAAAAGCAATTAATCAAAACCTCGCAAATAAGCTTTTGCTTTCAAAAGTGGGTGTTTTTGGACTCAAATTATATATTCCACAATTGGCTGCACTTTAGGGAGCTTAATTTAATTGTGCTTATATTTGAACTCATTAGCGTGCATGCCCAAAACTTTGTTATTTATGCGTTCAATACATATAATGCTTTATAGTATAATTAAGTTCGCCGTAAAAAGTTTGAAAACTTAAATAACACTCTGTTCAAAAGGAGTCTTAGCCCTTAATTAGGAGTGTTGATGTCATGGTAATATATATAATAAAATAGGGAAATTCTACAGTCCCGTTACGGAACCATTCCGTCAGGGTTTGTAACCGTTAGATCATCATGTAACCGTCGAGATAGTTGATCTAACGGTTACAAATCCCGACGGAATGGTTCCGTAACGGGACCGTAAGATTTCCCAATAAAATATATAGATCACACTTTTATATGATGACTTTTGGAACATATATCCATTTAGCATAAACACTTTTCTTTCTTTCATGGATTAGATTAGGATAAAATGAAGTCACAATGGAGATTTTTATTACAAATTTTATTTTCAGTCTAACTTACAATTTATTGATTATAGTAATAAATAATAATGTCAACCTGCCTTAGATTTGTAATATATCATTATAGGTTTTTGGATTAGGCTCTTACAAATCCATGTTCATTTGTTTAACTTAATTTCTTTTATTTTTTTGTGGGAAAAGTTAATTAAAAATTTGTTAGTTTCGTATACATACAAACTAGTCCGTAGCCCATGCGATGAACAAATTGCATTTATAAAAGTAGTGAAACAATTATTAGTATAAAACTAGTTTTGAATATTAATATTAATTTTCTTTCTCTTTTATTTTATGATATATGAAAATTTAATATATGATTTATGTGATTATTTCACTCGTTTACAAAATAGTTATCATTTTAGAGTTCCTATTTATAATTAATGATAATAAAAATGTAACGTATTTAAACTTTATCAATAAATATTACTAATGGAACCTCTCTCTCTCTCTCTCTCTCTCTCTCTCTCTCTCTCTCCTTAGTACAATATATTATGTCGATTTCTAAATAAGTTATGCTAAAGTTGAAAAAATATGTTAAATATTATAACCAACACTTAATTGAATAAGATTGTAATACATTTTATTTTAAGCTATAAAATTATTAATTTTTAATTACATCAATATTATTTTTTTCTTATAACTTATAATAATATATATTATACGTATTTTAAATTTTTTATCTAATCTATTAATTTTATGAAAGTTTTAATGATACTGTGAATCACAATATGAATTTTTAAAAAACTGGTTCGGTGCAGTTACTGATAATCAAATAATAATTTTGAACTCCCTGAATATAAATTTTTTAGTATATGACTTGTTACCAAATGATTGGAGGGATTTGTTATTGATGTTAAGATATTAATTCTACTGTAGTATTGTGGTAATTATATCAATAAGGATTTTGCAATTGATTTCTAAATTTATTTTGTACTTATATTTTGCAATAACACACCAATATTTGTTATCAATGATAACCATTGGTTTGTTATTAAAAATAAATAGATAAATTTCATTTGATATTGTGAAAATCGCTTTACAACTTGTTGATATCCGAGTTGAGTCCCGACCCACAAACCAGGAGTGACAACCCGAAAGAAAGTGATCCCGGAAACTAGACCAGCGCTCGGATTGTAGAACGACCGAGCTAGACGAAAAGTAAAGTCGTTTAGAATAGTCCGTGGAATAGTCGCTCAGAGCAGCACATAGAGGCGTGGGAGGGACGACGTCGACCTGTATGAATGTCGAATCATAGAAGAAAGGTCTTGACGAACAGAAGACAGAGATAGCTCAAGTTATGACAAGGATCCGACCTAAACGCTCAAGTTATATAACTCATAAATTTTATGAGTTAAAATTCATGAGGTTTTATTTAATGTATTGCTGCCAATTTTATA